TATAAGGTTTGTATATAAGAGGTTACTATGGGGGTATCTTAGAAAAGTCTCCTAAACTACTTTAATTTGAGAAAACCACCATTAGTTTGAACATATTGTTCATAACCCCCTCAACTTTGAAAATTCGAGAAAATCCATGAACTTATCTCACTTAATTCCCTGAAAGCTAACAACGTTAGATCTAACATGTCATGTGACAAGTAGGTGACTATGAAAAGACCAAAATACCCCTCAATAGTAAAAGATTATCTTGACCTTTTGCATGATGACAGAAAGAGAGAGCATGGTAAATTGCTCGGGGTCTTTTTTTACCAGCTGGGGGTTTATTTTTTATATCTGAAATGGGTTGATTTTTTCATAATAGTTAAGGTGGGTTTCTAAAATAAACCCTTATTAAAACTAAATGATTAAAAAATATTTCGTAGATACAAATAATTCTAATTTCCCATGCAACTATATGATTTCAATATCTCCTGTCATTCATTGCCAGCAAATATTCATTTTCTAGACCTAAAAGACCGTATAAAGCAAATTTTGTACCCATTTTAAGGACTAGATAAGCTTGTCTATGTCTTTACAACCGATGCCACCTAAATGAAGTACATTATCAACGCTTGAAAGACTCGAGAAAATAAATGTATAAATGCCTCTTTAGTTGTCAAATTGTACTCAAGATCAACAAGTGGAATGCTTGAGAAAAAATGCATAAATTTCCTCTGTAGTTGTTTACTTGCGCAAGTTGTACTAAATCTTCCAACACTCGTTACAGGTTCCTTTGTATTGTGAACTCAATGCAACAGATAACATGTACGAATTTTCTACAGTTCAAAAACTAGATTTCATTATTGTTCTTAAATCCCTTCCACTAGACTAAAACTTCGAAGTTGCAATCAGGGTTGAGGGTTAATAATTTGATACTCCACAGCAATAAGCATGTGAAATAGGCATCACGTTCTCTAGCAGTTCCTAGCAGTAATAAACATGACAAAGTAAGGCACACAGTAGTTTTATATGCCCACCTGCAAAAGCATGGATGCCTTGGCACAAAGCACTGAGTTGGTGACAGATGGAAAGCCATTCACAAAGCCAAGATTCAAGCTCATCATCTTACTAGGCGAAGAATTAACAAGGATAGCAACATCATCTACACCATCAGTATTGATTATGGACCATCCATCATCAGAAAAGCCATTTAGAGCTTCATTGAAACCTCTGAGAGCTTACACAGATTAGGATACTGGATAAAAATTGGTAGAGAAACAAATCCGAGAAAGAAAATGAGAGAACTCAATATCCCAACCTGCACAATCTCTGGCTAAGTGTTCTTAGAGCTGCAGGTTGCCTTCCCCATCCAGTGATACTAGAATGAGAAATATCATGTGCAATTTGCCTCAGATGTCGTAATGCCTGCATTAACAAACACAACTAGTGTGAGCAGGGGGATCCTATAGCATTATCAAACCGTGAGTCCCACCATTCAGTTTGTGCAGCAACAACTGTAGTGTTTTAGGGCTTTTGTATTAAAATAATAAAGAACCATGCAGAAAACACGACCAGGTATTTGCTTCAAACTCATGAAGCTCTAAAGTTGTAAAGGAAAGACATCTACTCACAGCAATTGTTGTCTTCTGAGCAAGCACAGTAGATGACTCATATAGTGGCCGCAAAACTTCGGGTACACTCCATGGCTAGTTCAGACCAACAATAGTTTAGTACTCATTAAATATGCCATGAATTGCATGTAAACAAAAATGAATGTCAACAAGTTAGAATACAATGAAGAAGCTATGTACATACCTCCAAGTCCACATGATCAACAATGTGAATCATAGACCCACCCCCTTCACAGGGTCTTATCAGATACCCACTAGGGAGCATTTCTGCCCTGACAAAAGGCTGCACCAGAGGCATGCTTGGCCCACCTTGTGTACTGTTGAGTGATCTTTCACATACCTAAATATCTCACCACATATGTCAAAGTAGTAAGCAGTTAGCACAACACCTAGAATAGATAAGACGGACCAACCAAATTTTTGACATGTAACAGGCAACACATGACGCAAAATTTTTGCTAGTGCTCATAACATACCACGAGACTTCCATCTTCCAAAACTGATGTATACCGAATCAACCAGAAATCACGAGCAGGTGCCAGAGTTGTAGGAGCATAGAGCTATAAGCAACCAAGGTGACCTCAGATCTTGTACCAAGATAAATATGTCAGACACACTTTAAGATGTACTTACCTGCATGTAGAGCAACTCAATGGTTCCACTATTTGCAGTTGGCAACACATTTATGACATCCGCCGACCGACAATCACGGAACCATGATGACCGATCTTTCAAGATCTCGGCGACCTACAACATACTTAGCTCAACCGTCAAGTACCATAAAAACATTTGGAATCTGATAAAAAATCACCTAATTCAGAAGCTTACCCTTGTAGGTTCTAGGCCTACTAGACCGCAAGCTCGTGCTGCCACACCAGTGCAACCATGTGAGATAGCAACGATTCCAAAGGAATCCGGACCAGGCTGCATAAGATTCAAATAATCAACAATGATTTTCTTGAACAAATTCTTCAAGTCCAAATCAAACAGCAGAAATAGTGAGGCATAAGAGGTAGGGAAACCTTCATCCCAGGCATTTGAACCCACTCAACAGCAGTTCCAGTTGCCTTTGAAAGAAACTCTGCTAATGTTTCCTCTGCTATGGACATAAGTCTATGGCAAACACAATCAGACACCAGTAGACATTTAACCATGCCCGAAAGAAAAGATAACAAACAAAATCATCAGAAAGCACTTTAGCCTACCCAGCAGGACTAGCATCCCTTGGAGGATGCTGAGGTGTCAAATGGCGCTGACCACTCGTCACAACTGACTCACAGCTCGTGTCTGTGGTTGCTAACGCAGCCTAAGCAAACGAACAAAAGAGTCGTAAACTTTTCGAAGTGTCCCACATCCATTCAGTTCAAATTTGCAGGTTAGGTTAGCAAAAGGCATAATATCGGATTTAATTTCACATAAAAAACAGTTACATGGATATATGGTTGAATATGTTTGGGTTCATGACTCAAAACAAGCTTAATCCTTTTGAGGTCTTTGCAACCCAACATACACATCGACCCCCAGCACCTAAAAGAATATGAAGAAACAGAGAAATTTCTCTTACAGTCTGCGTCTGCTGTCGAAAGTAGCCATTGTCATACACCAACTGTGACACCTGCTTCTGCAATCGATCATTCTCTTCCATCAACAGCTTATTCATGGCTGTCAGCTTGCGATTCACAGCCTGAAGCCTCGAGGACTCCTTCCGCTGCTTCTCCCTGCATCTGAAATCACAAAAAGGGCAATTATACACAAATACCGCAACAATAAAACAAATAACCCAATAACCATTTCAGCAAAAAAAAAAAAAAAAAAAAAAAAACCTTTCTGCTTCTGAAACCAAACTTTAATCTGCTTAGGCTCAATGTTAGAGAGGATGGGGCACTCTCTAATCAACTGCTGCCTACGGAGAGAGCTCGGTTTCGGGCACTCATGATACAATCTCTCGAGGGCTTCGACCTGCTCCGGAGTATATCTAACGTACTTCCCAGGATCAATCCCTCCCTTTCCCTCTTTACAAGAAGCAACAGTCATCATCTCTCCGCTAGTTTCTCTTCCTTCTTACCATTACCCACAACAGCAACAACGAAAAAAAAAGATCCCTCTTTCACCGTAAAAGTGGGCTATAATCCCCCCCTTCAGCGTTCGTTAAATTATGAGCGTCAGCTGAAACAAAATCCGAGATTTCAGCGCCCCGTAGCTCAGAACAATCAGACAACAGCAGCAAGCACAAAAAAGACCAGCTCTTCGAAATGAGAGACGGTAATCGACTACACAAATAAAAAAACAGTTTAAATAAATAAATAAGAAAACTTTACCAGATGCCCCTGTCGAAGAATCCACCTCGCTTTTTCTTTTCTTTTTCTTTATCAACGTACTTCAAACCCTGCGCTCAAAACATTCCTTTCGATTACTTCTCGAGATTCGAGAACCGGATCCAGATCCGATTTCGCTGAGAGCGAATTCTCGGCATCTGGAGCTCGATTAAAGCGCGCTCGGACACAAAATAAACCCTAAGATCGGCGCCGAGACGCTCAACAGAATAATATAATATAATAATAATAATAAAAGGAAATCGAAAATAATCGCGCTTTTCGTACCGGCAGGGTCCGTACGATCTGCTCCCTGGGGTTTCGAGCTCGAACGAGAGATCAGGACTCGGCAATGGCGATCTCTCTCCCCCCTCTCCGATCCGTTGCTTTCGTACCTCAGTCAGAGGTTGAGTGGCGAGGGGGACGCTGCGCGTCGGCAGTTTTATACGAAGGATGATGTGACGAAAATACCCTCGGGGAGATCAAGAATTACGGAGCTAGGCGACAAGGGCTCGGATTCGGTATCGCATAAAGGCTTCCCTAGTCTGTACCTAACGGCTCGCGGGGTTTTTAAACGGGGGATGCTAAGGACAGGTTGGTGAAGTGGACGGGGCGTCGCTTTGACGGCTCGCAGGGTGTGGGTCTGGATTCTCTACATTCTCTTGGATTTTTGATCGCAGAGAAAGCCCTAAAATTAAAATAGGCGCTACTCCACCAACTACACACTCTCTCTTTCTACAGTGTAGGGGGCCTCACATGTAATTTTTTTAAAAAAAAATCACATGTGAGGACCCCTGTACTGTAGAGAAAAAATCATATGTGGGGCCCCCTGCACTGTAGAGAGAGAGGGAGTGTGGTTGGTGATGTGCCTTAGAGTGTGCATCTATCATTTCTTTAAAATTAATCGTGTAGACCAAATATTATCCGCGTATCTCAGTAGGCTTTATAATTAAATATTTTTTTATATAATTTAAATAATTAATATTATTTATAAGATTATTAAATGAGTAGATTTGGCTGATGTATTGTAGAGTTTCTTTACAACTATAGACGTAGATGATGTCTCTGCTCTGGAGGTTCCTCCAGTCTCTAAACTTGCTCATAAGCCCCTCAAATCTTGAGGGGTGTTGCAATTAAGTCCCCCGGTGACGAAAATACCATATGCACTTTATTCTTGGAACTTTCTCTTTCTTGGAAACACCTCAAAGAGGGACATTTTGGTCATCAAGAGACCACCCCGAAGGATTTGAGGGACTTTTTTTTAAAAAGAGGATGGGATTTTACGAAGAAACCTTAGTCATTCTATTTCATTCAACCACCGGTCTATTTGTACAAAAAATAATGCTAGGGACACACCCTTAACCACACTCCCAACCACACCTCCACACTCTCTACAGTGTTAGTGGGCCATGAATGATATTTTTTTTAAAAATATCATGCATGACCCATTAGCACTATAAAGAGTGTGGGGGTGTGGTTGAGAGTGTGGTTGATGGTGTGCCTCTAGTGGGACTTGTACAAAATAATTGTCTATACTGCCAACCTTAATAGTACAGTCCATAGTACATAAAATAAGTCTGGTACGTTCTCCAATAAAAGCACACCCCATAACTACTGCACTTGTACTATCACCACAAGTCCGCTATCAGAAAGGATTTGAGGGACTCATGAGTAATTTCAGTTATGTGAGGGAGTAATATGAAATTATTGAAGATTTCAGGGACTTCCAAGAAAATAACCCTAAGGGCAAACAAGAATTTTAGATTTAAAAAAAACAATTGGGTATAACATAAAAGTCCAGTTTAGTGAATAAGTTCTCAGGATACAAAAATGAATTATCAATGAATGGATCAATCTGACTTTGTGTGCAAGAGGTGGTGCTCTGAATTATTAAAAGTTGTCATGAATAGTATTATCTTTAAGGGTGATGTTTGATTTTGTTCCAAATACAAAAAAGAAGTTGATAATATAACGTACATATTGAGTACACAAACTAATTAATTCAAAATTATTTGTTGGATATAAGATGCGTGGGGATTGTTACCGTTTTTCGTTAAAAACACAGAATACCCAGCAAGATATATAAAATAAAAGTGATCAACAATAAGTAAATACAAATAGCAACCACCTAAAAACACACAAGATTTTATAGTAATTTGGATAATAATTCTACGTCCACTCTTTTCTTCTTGTAAAGGAGCTTCCTCACTATGCAAATATATAGTTCATCCGAATCACAAATCTAAGTTAGTAGTCTCACAAGACCGCACCCCTGGAATATACCTGAAACCAGTCATCTAACCTAACTCTTCACAATGAGCTAGTCCCAATGCTCAATTCCAATCATTTGAAGTACCCTGTAAAAACAAGTTCAAAACAAAACCAAGTAATCACAATTAAAGCACAGAAAAATATGAAAGGTCTTATAGCCCTTTTGTCCAACAATCATTTGATGAATCTAAGCATAGCACAATGAAGAACAATGTAGATGATGAATCTAAGGACAACTCTCCTAGCTAAATGATCTGGAGATGTTGTGTGCAACGAGTGAGAGTTTGTCAAGGCTCTAGGGGTCAAAAACCTTCAATAAAATCTCTTCATGTCTCAAAACCCTAAAATTTCTCTCTCTCTCTCTCTCTCTCTCTCTCTCCCTCCCTCCCTCCCTCTCTCTCAATAATATAAAGCCCCAATAGGTAAGGAAAGAGATGTCCTAAATATAATAGAGATTGAAGATATTATAAATGAAAAACGGCTGTGATTAAATCTAAAAATCTGCAAATAATTAACATTACCATTAATGATAACTCTCGATCATTGATGGTTTCCAGGCCTCATTGATGATTGAGAGGCTGACCGATGATATAAAAGTGTCTGGAGTAAATATCATTAATGTGTGCATGCAATTGACTATCGATGAGCTTATCCTACTATTAATGAGTCACCGTCGACCATCGATGATGAGGAGGCTGAAATAAGCTTCTTAGCTTATTTTCGCATCATTTCACCTTATACATTTCTTATGCCTATATTTACTGATACTATATCATCTCATATTACTACTAAATGAGAGTTTATTATTACCTAACAAGAGCTATTATATGGACTACGTCCTAACATTATCATGTGCAAAATACATGTCCACTTAAATTTTCATGGGTATAATTTTTTAGTGAAGCGACTTTATTAGACTTTCTCAAAGCTTATTTGAACTTTAGTAATATATGTTTCACCCGTTTTTAGCTTTAGCTTCTTGAGGCTTTATTTTACGAAATTTATACCTCAAAGTTTTCAAATTAATACAAATTTGTCTCCCAAGCTCTAATTCTGTTCGAAACTCTCTCCAAACTCGAACAAACTGAATGTTTGGTTTTAAAAAATTGTTTCTCGTTCAGTTTTTCATATTGATATACTTGAACAAAATTAATGTTAATTGTCTTGCGCTCTCGAGTATCAAGTTGTTAAATAGAATTTCAACATATAAAAATTAAGAAACAGTAAAACTTTAAGGTATTAAAGTGTAAGTAGTCATTTCCTTAACTTGTAGAATTTAAGGTGTTTCGTAGGAAACTTCCCAAAGTTTATGCTATGGACGGGCTTTGTGAACCTTTTGGCGAGTAGTATCACTGAAAGCTAATTGCATAATGGTCATAGTGTAAATATTCAGTGAAGTTAGTGGCAATTGGAAACGTGAGTAGGAAAGATAGGCGTGTTGAGAGCTGTAGCTTAAAATAAGTGCCGGCGACGTGGGCGAGAGTGGACATAATTATGAGGATCACTCTTTTCTTACCCCATGCGCCCCCTCGATCGCCTCTCCTCCTCTCTCCCAAATTTTTTTCCTTACCCTTTTTACTCTAAATTAATCTAATAAATTTCTAACAAAATAGATGTGTAAATAATAAAAATCCAGAATGCATGAATGAAAGACAATAGAAGGGATTGACTTGAGATTTTTACACGATTTGAGAGTACAAATTTCATCAGAACATGTGTACGCCACGTGGATGTTCCTAGTTATTCATGTGAGAAGTATTAGGATGGTTTGAAACTTCAAACTATTATTTTTATGATTCAAGACGCTCTCGCTATAAGATACTTCTGATGAAATTTGTATTCCCAATTTGTTGCCTCCTATAATGGTATCTTAGTCTTTCAGATTCTTCGACTGTAAAAACTATATTTTATTATTTGTGTTGATGTCAGTTATCAAATAGAGGACTAGATGTGGATTTTTTTTTTTGCAATTGCTCAGCCTTCTTTGTTGGTTGGTTAGTGAGTAGAGGATTCAATACTGCACACAAAAACAACACGTGAGAGGATCGAAGTTGAGATCTTCGGCGATTTCACCGATGATCACATCAGTAATTAGCTTGAGTGGAGAAGAAGTATGAATATAAGATGTTTGTTTGTAAAAGATTGCTTACCCTATGCAGTAGACAACATCTCTTCTTTATAGTAGATCTTGGGGGATATTTGTGTAATTTTCGCCGAGTCCAAGCAGACGGCTTAGTCAACAGATACTTTACAGGTGTTGGCTGTAGAGGGGATGAGTCGCTGTTTGGTGGAAAATTTGTGAAATAAAAATGAAAGAACTGTGTTTGATTTTATTCTCTCTAACTACTTAGAAAAAGAATGTTTATAACTCTCTCAATCTCAATTATAATTTGGATTTTCTGATTACAAAAGAGAGGAGAATTGATCTGGATTCTCTCATTTGTTTAAATCTAGGTTCTTCACGGTGGCGATGGAGTACCTCCTTCGAATGCTTGCATCGAATTTACTCTCCGTTGACGATCCGCACGTCTTAATTTACTAGAACAACTAACTTGCATGGCAAATTTGATTAAGAACTCTTAACGAGTTTTAGAACTCAGAACGAGTTAAAACTCTGTCAAACAGAGTTGTTTGAGCCGAAAATTTGGTTAATAGCCAAGTAGATTTTCTGTTGGCTCCAAGATTTGATCTTCTTGTTATTGAAGATCTGTAGTCGATTCGAACTTCATTAAAATCCAAGAAGAACTAGCCTATCCGAACTCCAAAAATCTAACCCCTTTATCCTGTTAAGTTTGTTGGGGTTTTATAGGAGGATAAGGGGTGTAACTGACCCTTTAATCCACTCCTAAGTGGGCGCGATTCCCTCAGATCGTGGGAAAACGGTTCTGAAACTGTTCGGCTCGTGTTTGAATGAGTCAAACGCCTAGGTCGACGTAAGGGACTCTAACCCTGCGTCTTAGACCAGAGATGCAAAGTTGAGTGTCTGTTGGATGCTAAAAACATAAGGGCCGCTTGCGTTTCATTTGCTGAGGGTTCGAAATGCAGGGGTTGTCTGCGTTTCAAGAACTGAAACGCGAAGATGAGTTCTGCGTTTTTAAAAGGGGCTAGTGACTTGTAACCTCTTCTGTAAAGCGTTGCAAAGACCATTGTTCGATAATCTTCGTTTTAGCTGTTTTGAGGTGTGAGAGTCGTCAGATTATAAGTTCTCACAGTTGATGGTAAATGCCACTAAATAGAGTTTTTATCAGTTGTCGGAAGGGTCGTTGAATTGCAACTCCTCTTGATCTATGTGAAAAGTCCTCCATTTGTAGCTTTTGTGAAAGTCGTTTGATTATAACTTTTATTATCGAAATATTGATTAAGGATTGATAGAGACCAACTATCTGTCGTGATTTTTAGACAGCCTACAGTCGCATATGCGTTTAATGTAATGGTGACAATGTCTGATGAGTCATAACGATTTTTGGAGCTGGAGCAATGATAATTCTGACAATACATTCAATATGATGATGATCGACTGTCGAAGGGGGATTCGAGGACAAAGTGCGTTTCGACTCGGCTCTGTGAGAGAGTTGACAAATGACGCCTCTTGACTCGGTCTTGCGAGCGGGATAGTAAGTACTGGAAGAAGAGGCTCGTCTGGGTCTTTGGGGCTGATCCGATTCTAGCTTACTCGGCTTGGCCCGAGATTAAGAAGGATGTCCTAAAGCCAGGTTTTCTCACGGTCGAGGAAAAGCATGGGTTTGAGAGAATTTGGGCCTACTCTGGATCACATAAGATTGAGAACCTATTTGATCCTTTGGCCTTACGAGTGGTCGGTATCTCTAGGATCATGCTGACCGAAGAAGACAAAGTTTAAGCAGTGGTCTTAGCGCTGCCATTGGCAGAGCCAGATGCATCTCAGGTCGGGCCCTAATCAGGCCCCAAAAATGCTTGAGATCCAACTTGGCCCTAGAATAGGCCGAGGAGATTCTAGCGAAGGCTGCTGAGATCACGACCCGGTTAGCTGAGCTGAGTGTTTATACATTAAGGCCGAGAGGTATGAGAAGAAGAAGAGGCGGCTAAGGTAAGTAGGCGGCCAAGAAGCTCCATCGCCACCGTGGTCGATGAGGAAGAAGAAGAGCGCATTAGAGACGACCACCCTGCTCTAGCTCAAGAAGCTGATGAAGGCGAAAACTTCGCTACTCCCCTTCTAGAGGCCCCTCGGATAGATTCCACCGAAGTCATCATCGTGGTCGATGAGGAGTCCCCCTTACGGACTGAGGGGTCAAGATGTTGGTGGCCGACCCAATGGAGGTCCAGGCTTGGACCGAGGAGGAGGGCCCTGGCTCCGCTTGCCGAGTCGGCCCATGAAAGAGGCGCATTCCGCCCAAGAGGGCCGCATTGGTGGCATTTCCCTCACCACATAAATGAACTCCTAGTGGAGGTATAGGGGGAGTTAAGAAAATTACTAATGGGGACGCCTTTGTTAGACCCTAATGTCACTAGGAAAGAACCCTAGAGTGGGGTGAATAGGGTTTATACTAATCTAATCCGATTTAATACCAATTAAAACTTACTAACAAATATCCTAGCAAATATGATATGCAATAAGATATATATGCAAGGATAAGTAAACTAAGCAAGGTCAAATAGTATAGTGGATGAAATAAACAAGATGCAATAGGCGATATAAGATGAACATAAAAATAAGTGTGCCAATGCAATCACAAACAAACGATATGTTTACGGAGTTCGGTCCCCACGACTTACGTCTCCGCTCCTCACCTCGAGGAGATCTCCACTATCATGTCGGGTTTTCTACGCTTACCCGAAAAACGTTTACACCTCACAATACAGTTTTTTAGCTAACCGAAAACTTTACAATCCACACTCACAATGTAACTACACTAACTCCTCTTGGCATTACCACCTACCTCACTCCTTTTGGGATGACCCCGTCTCTCACCACACACTCCTCTTGGTGTACTAGTGTAATACAAAGTGAACCTCACAATAATAGCTCACAAATCAAATGATTGTTCTCTAAACAAGGTGAGAACTCAATTAAGCACAACTCAAAGTTATAATCTCTCACAACCCCAATTATACTATGTATGAAATACTATAAGCTCAAGTGGGTGTGTGTAACAATGAGATTTGATAAAAAACAAACTAAACTCAATTTAAATCTAACATATGGAAATTATGAACAAAAAAATAAATAGCTAGAAATAGAGTTTAGGAAAACTTCTCTATGATAACAAGAGAGAGGGAGAAGAGTTGAATGTCCAAACACCAATAGATGATCTCCATTTGCTCTTGTGAAATTATCTTCACAAACTAAACTCTCAAATGCTTAAAAGCTTTTTAAACAAACACCAAACAAAACTTAAACCCTTGTTAAAACATTGTTAAAATATTCTCTTAGATTCTGAAATAGTTAATGTAAAGGGGTATATATAGGCTTGAAGAAACCAGCCTAAGAATCCAACAAAATCCCATAAAAATATTAAAATAATCAAATCTGGAAACTAGCCGTTACTGTGCAACGGCTCTCTGATAAGTCGACTTATGGGTCGACTTATGAGTCAACTTATATGAGTCGACTCAGCAGAAGAAAATATCACAAGTCTGCTACACTTTGTGAGTCGACTTATGAGTCGACTCATGAGTCGACTAATGAGTCGACTAAACGTGCATAGATCTAAAATGCACAGAAAAACTCAACTTTAAACCAAGTTTAAAAATATCAAATAAATTTTAAAAATTATAAAACTTTGGGAGATGGTTGTAGACATGATAATAAATATGTTACAAAAACTGGTTTTCAAAAAGGACCTCCTAAATGGGAAAAATCATTATTTTGCAAAATAATCCAAAACATAAAAATGTGAACACATGAGTTTTGACATTTTTAGCTTAACCATGTTTTGAAACATTACAAAATGATTTTGTAGACTTAATAAAAAATGTATATGATTATTGTTAAGTCCATAAACCAAGAAAATAATATTTTCTCAAAATTACATATTCTATGCAATATATTCTTAAACAAAATAGAGTATGAAACATATGATTATATATATGAATGTAAATTTGTTTCATGTCTATATAGTTAAACCAAAACACAATAATAAATATGTAATCTCATATTTATGAGCACAAAAACTTAAAACTATGTATGTATATATGTATAACTATATATATACATAGAAACATATATGTATATGTATGTATATATATATATATGAAAACCAAAACTTGTGTTGTATATATATATAACTATATACATACATAGAAACCAATAAAATGTGTGTGTATATATGATTTAGCTTAAAGTATTAACACACATAATATAATACCTAAACTAAATGTTACCTAAGCAATCTTAATGTGATCTTCATTGTAGCTCAACTTGGTACACTTGCGGATGAAGCTAGAACTTGGATCTTGAACTTGAATGCATTTGCTTCACTCCACAATTTTCTTCCATCCTCCAATGGATATGATCGTGAAAGCTCTCTATTCCATCCATCCTCCGATATGTTGTTTGTCTACAATAAATAGAATTATACAAACACTAGATAAATAACATTAGAATTAAATTGTTTGTTAAACATCATCAAAATAAGAAGGCCAACAACCTTAAGTTGATCACAGATATGACAAGGAGTTGTCCAAGGAGAACTGATTCGTCCTCTGTAGGGTCTTCACAAGAGAGCGTTAGTCTTGGAGTCCAGGATGATCCAAGCTAGGGCATATCTTCAGGTCCCCAGGCGAACACATCAGTGTT